GATAGTTTTTGCATTTTCTTTAAAAAAAAGAAAGAGATATTAATTGTGTGTTTTACTCACCACCGCCATAATACTAATTGACATTATTATGGACAAAATTAAAAAATTGTTGTCACTTAATATGATTTTAACTAAATAACAAATTTTTACTAATATGTAAGATTCCATTACAAACACCTTATATTTATGTATGGATAGATGGAGTATACTATTTAAACTAAATGAGTTGATAGAATAAAGCATGTTGTTTATGGTCAATTAATAATAAGATTTCATATTTTTGGACAAGGAGATTTGATAGAGTTTTTAATGGATTGTGAAAAATTGAGTATTAAGGGGGGAAAAATAAATAAATTACTTGTTTTTCACCTAAGAAGACAAAGTTCGTTGCTTGAAGGTTGAAGCATTAATTTCTGGTTTGGTGCCCTTAATTTAAAGGTGAAGCATTAATTTCGCCGAACATCACAATCTGTATTCAAGTTCATTGCTCAGCTCATCATTGATAAGGAAGAAGATCTGGTCTGCGATCTCATCATCATCCTGAATCCAGTATGGGAAGCAGGGAACAAAGCAATGCATCAAGATTTTAGAACTTTGCCAAAAGTTCTCATCAGGAATTTCGACATGCAAGGAAATTTTCTAAAGATATTTGCAGCTAGGGGAACGGAGAAACTACCTCTTTGGGGTTCAGCTCCGGGAATCCAAGCCCCAAATTCTGAGTTAGTTGATTCTGAAATCTCTTGTGGATGGCTTCTCATTTTTCGGAAGATCGAAACCACAGATCTTGTGATTATCTGGATCTGAATTTGCTTCTACAACACTTCCATGGTGAACTTTGAAAGGAAAAAGGAGAAACAACTCAAGATTCCATCCTTCGATAACGAATGCCTCAAATCTGCTGCGTTTTGGTTGAAAAAAGTGGAACGAAACGGTATTTTTTTTTTTTTAATACAAGGCTACAAAAAATAATGCAAGATTAGGCCAAGTCAGGATGTATAAGAGTGTGACATTTTAGCAAAGGGTCATGAAAAATCAAGATGTTATTGTTGTTCGACACTTGATGAACAAACAAATCCGCACACTCGTTGTTTTTTCTAAACACATGGTTGAAGTTGATAATTCAATCCTTCATAATGAGGCCTCTAATTTTCTTTATAATTTCATTGCAGGGATGGTCTGAGTTGTGGTAATACTGAATAAACAACAAAGCTTTAAGGGAGTCAGAGTAAATATTGACATAAGTAAATTTGTACCTTGATAAGGAGAAATACTTTCAAGGATGGCCAAGAGTTCAATAGCAGTACTGGAATGATAATTAAGGTATTTGGTAAAGCCTTTTCTCCAATTACTTTGGTCATCAAGGATAAGGCCATTATAAATTGCAGTTCCATTGATGTAAATAAAGCTATCAGCATCCAACCTTAGCCAATTAAGTTTGGGTGAAATCTATCTAATAAGAGATCTGTAACGATCTAAATGTACATTTTCGAGTTGAGCTATAGAAGATGATGTCTTTATCAAAAATATGTTCTTCAAAATATATATAAAAGCAGCGATCTTTTTAAATGATCCAATATATATGAGTAAAGAGTTTTTTTCCAAAAAGTTCTTCTGACATTCAAGCGTCTAATATTATTCTTTACATTTTAAAATATTCAATCCTACAAGAAAGAAAAAAATATTGAGTTTATAGGACTCTACTGATTTCAGCCATACTTGCTTTGGTTTGGTGCAATAATCAGTGAGAAAATCTCCATTCATGGCCAAGATGCAAAAACCCGTTGCTCAAATGAGGATCATGGTTGTGTGATTGTGGAAGATATCTCGCGAATCCCATCAACTTTTGCAAAATTCAAAACTAAAAGGAAACTCTTACACACGTAGTCTCCTTATAACCGCCCAACACTCTTAATTTCCTGTATACAACTGTACTGACTTTATCTTTTTATTATTAATATGTTTTTTATCTTTTATTCCGAAAAAAAAATTAATGAGGCAAAGTAAATGATCACTCCCTCTATTTCTATTTATAAATCGCTTTCGTCATATTTTATTAAAATAAAAAAAATTTAAATCTCATTAAATTTATCTTAAAATTTAATAAATTTTTACCTTTATTCTTAATAAACATTCTTAAAATTCATTATTAATATTTTTATTTAAATTATTTAATAAGAGTAAAAATATAAAGAAAAATATTAATAATTAGCAAGTGTCTTATAAATATAATTAATTTTTTTATTTTATAAATAAAATTAGAGGACTATAGCTAGAAGGTCGTTGGAAGAAAAAAAAGAGATTAATATACTGTAAATCGGATTGAGAGAGTAAGAACCGACGGCCAATTTCAACGCAATCCGAGTTTTTTTAAACGCAATCCGAGTTTTTTTAAACGCAATTCGAGTTTGATTTCATTTTCTTGAAGGACGCACTTGTGGTCTGATAAGAAATCTTGAGAAAAGTATGATTGTATAGAAAATCTGCATCTCATCTTTCAATCAAATATTCCATATTTACCCTCTTTCGAACCATAATATAATTTATTTTTTTAGAAATTTTACTTGGTTAGAATATATATATTTTTAATTATACTATTACTTTACTGAATAATTAATGAGTGTATTTTAAATAAGCTAAACATTATATTTATTACAGTCAAAAATACACTCAAAAAAATGTGATAATTCTTAGAAAATCAATATTTTAAATAATACTTCTTGAGAAATATAAGTTAATTAACAATGACTTGTATTATGATTCGGATAGAGTATAAAAGAAGAGTAAAAAATAAATAAATGATAAACATAATCAACTTTTCACACAATTATGTATATTTGACAAACCCTTTTTTTATAAAAAAAATTGGATCTTGTAAAACATGATAGTCCATTATAATATGATAAATTAATATTTGAATCCCTGCTTGATGAAGGATCCCATATTTAACATCTGGCCATATTTCAAATAAAATTACCTTTAGTACAAAACAAAATTCAAAAGATTTTTTATTTTTAATATGCAAAAATTTAAAATGATTAATATTTTTTCAATTTTACTTGTATTTTTTAATATTGTTTGAATTTTTAAAAAATAATTTATTATGTCTTTTAATTGAGAAGAAGGAAAAAATTTAGAAGTTAACATTTTTTAAAATAATTTTAAGAATAATCTGGTTAATATTGTAATTATTAATTTATTTTTTCCTTAAATATATTATATATGTATATATATTTATTTAACTATTTATTGTTATGAGAAGGAAAAGATTCTGAAACATAATGTCTGATTTTAATTTATACTGCAACAAAAAGAAATAAAAGGCCTGAATCTTTCATGGCGTCGTCATCAGTATCACAACGTATGGTGTGGGGGCCATCTAATTTTTTTTAAGTTCTAAGTTTATATCAGAATTTTATTTTGAGGATCCCTTGAGTTTAGAGTAGTCAATTTCCTTTTAAGCTTAAAAATAATTAAGGCTGGACTGTTACTTTAGGATAAAAATGATAATTTAAATTTAAAAAAGTTAATTTTTTAAAAGCTGAAAATAAAATGGCTAACCCTTTAGAATTAGAGTCCACCTTTTTAAGCCCTTGTACTGACCTTTATTTAAAATTTTATCTGAAAAATAAAAGACTAATTATTTAAATAAAAGAAATGAAAATCATAGGCTCATTCCTCCTTTCCTCGTTTATTCATAAAAATTTAGCTCATGATGCTATCAAAGTTTCATTTTTATTAATGTTGATTTTGATGTTGTCATTTGATATTAAACTTGAATGTTTAAGCTAAGTTTTACACATTTGTTTTGGTATAAATTGATTAAAATTTATTTTTCCTAAACTTAATTTTATGTGTAATGACTTTTTTAAAATTATAAATATATTTAAAAAATTTTTAAATTAGAAAAAAAAATGAGGTCAAGACTTGCAAGCACTTCGCCTTCAAAGTTAGAGTCAAGCCTTATAAAATAAAACCTTGAAATACAATCAACCTTATCAAGCCTATTGAGCTCCTCAAACTAACCTATTTAGATCTTAACCTTTCAATGGTCGGTCCCTTTTGAGCTAACCCATGCTGATTGATAGTTTTACCTATGTTGAGATTTCATTAGATAACTAAATTTACTCAACCAACCAACATTGCCAAGTACATGTAGGGGTGTTCATAGGATAGGATAGGACTGAGACACTCTTGTCCTGAAAAATAATCGAGACTTACATATTGTCTTGTATCTTATCTAGTCTCAAAAGCCTTCCTATCTTAATAAAAATCAAGACGAGATCGAGGTGTTTCGATAATCACTTTTACTTGATTTGGCCATCCTTACTTGTATTTTCAAGTGACTATGTAATCAGAGTCTATTATAAACCCATATTATAATAAGCACCAATAATCAAGCCCAAGTTAAACATAGACTTGAAAAATAAACTCATTACATTACTTAAATGGTAGTAATTCAGATTTTCTTTTTTAATTTCACAAATCAATATCAACAATTATAAAAATACATTTCGCAACTTGTTTAGCTAGGTTGAGTATTACAGAGTAATGCAAAATTAAACAAAGTAAAAATAAGCAAAAAAAATAAATAAATAAACAATGAAAACAACATACTAATTAACATATATATATATATATATATATATATCTTGAATCTCATCCCGTCCCAGCTTCCTCTCTATCTCATCTGGTAAATATCTCATTCTAATTTTTTTTAGATTGGGACAAACCCATTTTAACATAACCGGGATAAGTATAGGCCTGGGTGGATACATGGTGAATACTACCATGTACATGTACCGTCTTTCTGCACAGGCAACTAGTTCCCAAATTCTCCCCTTCGTATATAGAAAAACCATAACTGCGTCTTTAATCTTTATCCGTCTCGCCCGCCGATTGATCCTATCGACTCACGTCTACGTCTGACGTCCCTCCCTTCTTCTATATAACTAGCTCTTCCCCTTCCCTTCTCTCCATCATTCTCCACTCTCACACTCACAACATTCCCTGCATTTCTCTCTCTCTCTCTCATCACTTTCTCACACAATGGATGCATTTCTTGCCTGCGTCCTGTTCTTTCTCATACCATTGTTCTCTTCTGTCTTCGTGCTTTTAAAAAAACAATACCGAAAGCCCCCCACAAGGCCACAGCTTCCTCCTGGTTCCATGGGATGGCCCCGTATAGGAGAGACTCTTCAACTCTACTCTCAGAACCCGAACGTCTTCTTCGCCGCCAAACAGAAAAGGTTTGTCGTTGGCCGGCATTAATTGATTCTTTTGTCTCCCTCCCTCCCTCCTCATTTAATGGCTCTTTATGCGATGATTGAATTCCAGGTACGGTGAAATATTCAAGACCAATATTCTGGGTTGTCCCTCGGTGATGCTGGCTGGCCCCGAGGCTGCGCACTTTGTGCTCGTGACTCACGCTGACTTGTTTAAGCCCACCTATCCTAAGAGCAAGGAACGTCTGATTGGCCCGTCTGCTCTGTTTTTCCACCAAGGTCAGTACCATATGAGTCTGAGGAAGCTCGTTCAGGATTCGCTCTCCCTCGAATCACTTCGCAAATTGGTGCCTCATATTGAATCCTTGGCTGTTTCTGCCATCAATTCTTGGGCTGACGCGCCCCTCGTTAACACATTTAGTGAAATGAAAAGGGTGGGTTCTTCGATCCCTACCTTTGTATATAGTATATACCAATCATTGGAACGATTATTATATTGTTCATATTCCAACCTTTGTTTGTTACGTAAGCTTTTTCTGTCGTTTCTTCACAGTACACCCACATACACTGCAAGTATGTGATATATAAATTAACAAGGGCCAATAATGATCAAGTGGTTACCCCTGGCTCGAATGCTTGCAGTTTTCTTTCGAGGTGGGTATCCTTCTAGTCTTTGGCCATTTGGAGCCCAGGCTTAAAGAGGAACTCAAGAAAAACTACTGTATAGTAGACAGAGGCTACAATTCCTTTCCCACTAGCATTCCAGGAACCTCATTCAAAAAGGCACTGTTGGTAAGAATTTTCTGGTTTAATTCAAAAGCTCCTTTGACTTTATACTAAATACTGTATGTGTAATATGCCGTTGGAATGTTCCTCTTTCATTGAACCCTGAATGGATGGATGTATAGGCAAGAAAGAGGCTTGGCGAGATTATCAGAGATATAATTAGTGAGCGCAAGGAGAAGAAATTGCCTGAAAAAGATCTCATGGGATGTCTGTTGAGCTGGAAAAATGAGAATGGAGAAGTCTTGAGCGACGAGGAAATCTCAGATAACATTATTGGAGTGCTGTTTGCTGCTCAAGACACTACAGCTAGTGTCATGACATGGATAATAAAATACCTGCACGATGAACCCAAACTTCTGGAGGCTGTAATGGTATGATCATTAGGTTATATCGATTTGAATTAATGATGATGTTTTAATTTGTCGATAATGCTATAACTAGAGCTCGATCTGCAGGAGGAGCAGAAGGCTATTCGCGGGTCAAATAATGAAGGTAACCTACCACTGAGTTGGAATCAGACTAGAAGCATGCAAGTTACCAACAAGGTACGCAGTTAATTCTGTCTTATACTGTCTCTAAGCTAATTAATATTAGCTTTTCAGTATCTGTATGCTGCTTGATTAAAAAAAAAAAAATTATGTGTATGTTGCAACGTACAAATGCGCATAATAACTAAATAAATAACTGTGGACATGCTCAGGTTGTATTAGAGAGCTTGAGAATGGCAAGCATTATATCATTCGCTTTCAGAGAAGCAGTGGCTGATGTAGATTACAAGGGTAAGGGAAGTCCCACATCCTATAAAATCAAGTATGGGGATGGAGTGGGTCTAAAAGCAAAAACGAAAAAAATTCAACTACCCTGGTCCGTACTGAAAAATCTTACCATATCTAATGGAATGACTGACATGACTATTTACAGGGTTCCTAATACCAAAAGGGTGGAAAGTTTTGCCTCTGTTCAGAAACATTCATCATAATCCAGATTATTTTCCCGATCCTCATAAATTTAACCCTTTTAGGTTTGAGGTATGGATGCATGTCTCGACAGTCTACTTTCCTGAGTATGATATGTGTATTTCAACATTTAAACACGGCTGAATACATTTATCTGTAAAGCGTATTTTGTTGTTGTCTGTTCATTTAGGTGGCACCAAAACCCAATACTTTCATGCCATTTGGCAGTGGAGAACATGCCTGCCCTGGTAATCAGCTTGCCAAGCTGGAGTCGCTGATCATGGTCCACCATTTGGTCACTAAGTTTAGGTATTGCAACTAGAAAAGGATATGAAGTGAAAAATGGGGAAAAGAAAGTAGCATATGTATACGGATAAAAAATTTGAAAACCAGAGTTGAACTCAAAGGTTAACCAAGCACGTGAAAGAATGAAAATGATGAACCAAGTGTTGGTTCAGTAAAGAAAGAGTAGCTAGATGCTAGGTCAGAGGAGAAAAGATAGTGGATATTACTGCCTCAGGTCGCATTTACAAGGCAGGCTTTAAAAAATTTATTCAGTTCCATTTATACAACTTTTTAAATAATATTTAAAAGTATTTTAAAATTACTCTTCACAAGATAAAAATGTAATATGATATTTTTTTTGATTTATTATATAAAGATATATTTAAAATTTAAAATTTAATTTTTTTTTATTTTTTACATTGATATTAATAAAATTGATAAAAATAATTTATAAAAAGGGTTGAAAGAATATGTATTAATACTTATGATTATTACTGATAGTAACTTTTTTGTACGACTGTGATATAGGTGGGAAGTGAAAGGATCGCAACGTGGGATTCAGTATGGCCCATTTCCAGTTCCTGTGGATGGATTACCAGCCAGATTTTGGAGAGAATCTACCAGCTAGAAAGCAGCACGCAAGCACGTCTCAGCTAATCATCATAATCCCTGAACCGCCATCCACTTTCTCTGTTATTCCAATTTTTCTTCTGTAATTTTCCCCGTGTCTCAAAATCTTTGCCCCTCTGTTTTCATTATCCCACCCTCCTCGAAGGGGGAAGGTAATTCTTTTTCCTCAAGCAATCTATATGTTAGTCATGATGTGTTATTAGATTTGACAATAAAAGGGGTAGTTGAGCAGAATGAGGCTATGATCTGAAGTTCAAATGATATATAAGTTACGATAATTTTTTATTTATTTATTTCGGGGGGGTGGGGAGGTTGGGATCGCACTCATTACTAGCTTGGTGTCTGTACGTATTGCATGAGTAACACGAAATAGCGACAAACTACACAACACGCGCCCTGGCTTCCAGCGAATTCATGATTCATAGGGTAGAGGCTGAAGGAGAGCCACGTTTTGCCTTGCGTGATCGCTTGGGTCATTCTTTATCTGATTCATGACGCTGCATATATATTTGAGGCACCCCTTACTCTCACATCTTTGTTTGGAGTACCAAGATGGGCTCCCTTAGTTAAACTCTATGATTCTTGTCTCGTCTGCTTCAGCTTTGATATTTTGCTTCTTAGGACCACCCCCCTCAGCCACCTTAGCCTCATAATCCCATTCGCTTATATTTCACCAGGGACTCACTTTTGTATTCCCTGCCCAGAGCTTGATAGTTGAGACCAATTAGAACTGTTTAAGTCGAGACAGTGATATAAAAACCGAAAGGGGTATGTCAATTTTTTTTTTCTTTTGTGTCAAAGGGGTATATAAAATTTACTCGAACTGTATACAACATTTACTCTCCTCTTTCTTTCTATCTATCTCTTACTTCAAAAACTGATAAATTAAAAGAATCCATATCTTTCATCATATCCTGCCCTTCAATAATCAAACATAATATGAGTAGCGAAAAGGACAAGGTCCACTCAAAGAGCTGTTAGTGCCTAGCAAATTATCTGTATTTCTCAACTTAGAAGTCTAGTCTTCGAAGAAACTTAGAAGCACGAGCAATACTGGTTCACTCTTTCCGTTCTCTTCCAAAAACGGGCAAGTACTGCTCCGGGGAAGAAAAATATGCACGCTTATTGAATTTAAGACAGAGACATGATGGTATATGTACAGGAAAATCTTCCCACAAATGAAAAGGCTCAAGCAAAATCCCCACAATTAATCAACGGCCTTGATCAAATACAAATGGATATTATTACACGGTGATCGGAACATTGACATCTGACAATATATGTCAGTATGCAGAAATAGATAATTATTCTGTGTTTTATTCATGTTTAATATAATTTGTGACAAACTTATGCATCAGTAACCACTTGCCCCATCGCTTCAAGGTCAACTAAAAATATCTTGGGGTTGAAGAGATGAATGCTTGAGCAAGGCTTCAACAATCCTGTCTTTATTCCTTGTTGCGAATGCTTCCAAAAGAACCCCATTTTTATAGAAGTGGAAAAGAGGCACACTCTGCATCAGTTCATTTAGCTTTAATTTTGGTGGATAACAAAACTTGATAAGTAATCATCAATAATAATTTTAGAAAATAAAATATAAATGAGTAAACCATTTGAAGTTACTTCAGATGTTAAAAGTGAGGCAGGACGTAAAATTGAGGTCAAAATTTAACCAAAAGGTGGGAAAAAATACAATTACAAATGAGCACCTAGGGATATCTAGTGCAGATACAAAGAAAGTGGTCTGAAAGAAAAACTGGTATGTCGTTGAGAAAGAGAAGATGAGCTTAGATGAAAGAAGAAAAGGGCATTCAGCACCATTCAAGTCGCTCAATCAAACAGAGAATCCTCAAGTTAAATATTGTCAGGCGTGTCGATGTAGATCAGCCTGATGGTTAACTATCTCTCAGGCTTCTATCGTATTTGATTAGAACTTAAATTTAAGTCACTCAACAATCAATGTAAGGGAAGTACCCTGATTCTAAGTCGCTCAGCAACCTCAGATTGCTCATCATATTCGTCAATTACCTGCAACCAAAAGGCAAAATAAGGCAAGCCCCTCTGTAGAAAAAGTTAATAACACGCTCAACATATAATTAATGCCCCATGATCCTCACAGTCGGATACGTTAGCTAGATATTTTCTAAAACATAGATGAGCTAAAGAAAAAGCATAAGTATACTCACATTATGCTTTAGAAAGATTACAGGAGCGTCATGATCACCAGATTTCTTGCACAGTTTAGCAAAACCCTGCTCAATGTACTTGCAGCTTCCACAAGAGGTGCGGAAGAAATCTACCACAACTAAAGATCCAGTTTCCTTAGCCTTGTCCAGAATTTTGTGGAACTCTTCATCAGTTTTGAATTCTCTGACGCATTCGGCCGGACAGAGATCATCATCTTCTTCAGACCAATCTTCTTGATAGTCATTAGCAACCCTTATGTTACAAGGGCCCAAATTGTGGCTACATTTTATCATGGGTTCAATTCTCGCCCTACCCAGACATAACTTCTCGTGAACATGCCCAGAAACCAAGCTGAAAACTACACAGGAAATTCTAGAAGCTAGTTGGTTCTGCGTGTGCATGTTACTTAAAAAGGACTTGCCACACATAAAATTATGTCTGTGCACAACAACCTGCGACATCCTTCCAGACAAATTCTTGTATTTATTGAAAGGAAATTCTTTTCGGGCAGACAATGCCCAATACAGTAGAACCAACGGGCTTAGTTGCTACTCATTCACTTCTTGTTAATATTAGCAATACAAAAGGATACACAACTTAAATGACTTCTACAGATGAAAGAGTAAAGTAACGAACCATTTCTCTTTTATGTTTTGGGCAGGCAAGCAGACTCCGCTTGGGAGCCTACTCAAAAACGGGTTCGAAAGGTTATCAAATCTATCAGGAAAGTGTATAAAAGATCTATATGTATGCCAGTTTATACCGAATAACATAGATATCAATCAAACGAGAAAGCTTATCAATGATTATGGAGTGAGAACGTTTCTGAGACATAGTTCATTGTTAAATCAAGCATTGACAACCACTCAGAAGTTTGACACTGAGATCCCCCGGCATTTCACAAAAGCAGTAATCTGTAACTTTGTACGAGACCATGATATTGCATGTTCGGAGAAGCAGCCAATTGCAACTGAAGCCCAATCTGAGAGCGGAAAAATTAATTAATCAATCGGTTAGTTGAAAAGAAAATGAAAATGAAAAAAATTTTAAAAAATACCAGCCATACGTTTACATTTTACTTGCCTCGCGAGGATAAGGTTCTTCCTATGCTTTTAGCAGCAACACGGACGGAAAGATTCGTTCTTTTCTTTCCTTATTTTTTCTCCTGGAAACAAGTTTCTTGATAATTTAAAAAAAAAATAGAAAGCCTGAGCAAGAACAAAATAGGCTTGAAGGAATGATCACTTCGCAACTCCAAAAGGAATAATAATTTTTTTTTTTTAAAAAATGAGAGTATTAAATACAATTCGGAAAGTTTGGCAGCAATACCCAACATTCCAACAAACAGAATCACTTATATAGTTATCGCTGATTCTAATGGATCACCGTGACCTTCTTCCAAGAAGAATATCAGACAAAGGAAAGACACAAACACATAAAATGCAATAATCAATTAAAAGGAGAAAAGAGAAAAGGGTAAAAAGTATAGAAGGAAGACGATGGTAGAAACAACGCAAAGGGACAAAGCTTAATGAGGGAAGGGATGGTTACCTAACAGTTGCCGAACGACCGTTGAGCAGCAGTGCGTTGGGGATACCTATCAGTTTAAAATCAGAATCAGTAGCGTTCCTCCTAAGATTTATTGAAATCTTAACATTTTTTTTTTAATTTTTAAAATTTGATCATCTATATCCTTTGAAATGAAATATAAATATATATTTATTGTTATTAACACGTCATATTTTGTTCCTGAAACAATAAATATATTAACAAAAAAAAATCTTTGCAAAATGAAAGAAATTTTAAAATAATAAATTTGTAGTGTTTTAAAAGTCAAATCTGTGAATGCGAGTTGAGCCAGGAAATTCTTAGGGGGGGCACCCCAAAAATTAAAGATACGAAATGCGCTGACTGGCACAAAACATGAAGATTATGATAGTAATTGACTTGATCACAGTTTTCATAGAGGTTTAGTGTGGATCTGATTAATTATCGAAGCAGACTGGTATTTCTTTTGCTTTGAAGATTTCTTGTATTTTTTCCTCTCCAGTCCAAAAACAATTACGACAACGACTGGAAACGACGGGTCTTAATTTTGTGGGCTTAAGTTGTGGGCCCATTTTGAAGATATTGTTATGGGTCTATGATTGGTCGGGCCTCCTAAGTAATAACCCCGAATTGAATTTAGAGCAGGCCTGCTTCAGCCCAACTGCCTGGTGACGAATTCAAGTTCTTGTTGTCAAGCTCTTAGTTTTAAGTAAATTGACAGGATGGACATCCATCAACAAATAACTGTTAAAAATATATAATTAAATAATTAAAATATAAAATATGATCATAATTTAATTTAAATATATTTTAAAATATAAGTAATTAAAATTAATTCTGTTTATATGTGTGTATCTATATTATCATAATCAATGTAGACATTTCAAAATAAGGTAACGTATTTTTAATATTTTTTATTAATGTTAGTTTTTATTATTTGAATTTTTTTTTAAACTTATCGTTTATACGAATCAAGTTTTTCATAGCATGCACTTAGCTTGCTTGACTTAGAAAAAAAATTGATGAGTTTAACAAGCTTAACTGATTTTACATTTATTTTGAATGTATAAACAAATTAACATAATTTTATAAGTTAGAAATATAAAAATAATAAATTTAAAGAGTCAATTCACAAGTTTGACCAAATTTATATATAATCTAACTTTATTAGCAAGTTAATATAATTTTATAAATTAAAAATATAAAAATAATAAATTTAAAGAGTGAAATTGACAACCATGCTATCGTCCCCTAGCATATCACACAAAATTTAGGGAACACAAATTACTTTAAATCATCTGTGATTCACGAGTAGTGTAATTTTTTAACCATTACGTATTAAACATATTAATATTAATAATATTGATTGATTTTGATGATTCTATTAACAGAATAATGCAGATACGGAGACCATGTCATAAAACGTTATCTTTAAATAATATTCTCCTTGTACAAATATGCCCCAAAATAAACAAATTCTTCTGAAATTAAACTAAAATAGATAAAAATTATAATCAAGGACTGTTGGGTTAGATCATCATAATGTGACTGAGAGCGGTACCTACATATTGTGTATGACTGTACACCTATGAATAATAAAAGAAAAAAAGAAAGCAAAAATTATGAGAGAGAAAAACACTTGCAATCCAAAATTATAAAATTGCAAGAACATGGCGACACAAGTGTTTGCATAAATCAAGCATAGGATGGGGGAAAAAAATGGAATGGCAAGGGCGTGCATTAAGGGCACATTCTGGACCCGAGACACGTCAGCAAAAACACCACAGTCAGATACGTGAGGATTTCCTCACCCGATCCTGATCTGCTGAACTAAATTGTCCCGTCTCTCCACCGGTCTCATTTATGATTATGAAATAAGAAAACTTCGAGTGTTCATCGCAAGGAAGTTTGGAGAAGAGCAGGTAGCGACCGGCCAAGGTAATGGCTAATTCCGCCACCAATTCGGAGCTCAAGTCCGATGCTATTATGGAGCAGATGAAACAACATCTGTCCACCGACGCCGGCAAACAGCTTATCAGCAAGATTGGCCTTGTCTATCAGATTCAGATTGGCCCCAAGGTCCTCGGCGTTTTATTTTTCCTTTTTCTTCGTTTTCCCCCAACTATCTTCATCTTTTCACTTTCTGTTTTGTTTTGTTTTTTTTAATTCTGTATTTTCTGCATCTATTACAGAAACTTGGAGTCGATGAGGTCATCTACACTGTTGATCTCAAGAAAGGGGAGGTCAAAAGAGGTTAGGTTTTTCAATCCTGTCTTTTATTTTACCGTATAATAATTATAACTGCATTGGTCATGAACTTGAGCTATAGCCAAAAGTGGCCTTATGTGTTTCTTATTTTACGAGGAATTGTTGAATGATTGCTCCTGTTCATCGTATTTATTTGATACCTAATCAAATGTATAGAAGCGCTTGCATCTCTTTACCAAAAACACACCGCCCTGTCGGCGATAGAAGAAGAAAATATCTGACAACAGCAAGGATGAGAACGGATAAATCAAATTAAAATTGTCGTCAGGGGAAGAATATGATATACATAACAGCAAAATGTGTGTTTCAGTGTGTTTTGCATCATCTGCTAGGAACTAACTGGGAGGTTCAAACCTATTTTTCTCACAGTGGCAAAATTTGCTACTAATCTGTCATATGGATTCTGCAAAGTAAATAGCTGTGCTGATCCAAGACAAGTGTGGATCTGTAATATCGTTCCACTTGCGGACTGTTAAGCAGTATCTTATTCTGTACATGGATGAGGATTGTAATACTTGAAATCTCTTCAAGCTCCTAAAATTGTCCTCTACCTCTGCGTGTTTATATTGATCTTAGGCTGTGCATTTGACCATTTTCTCGAACTAAATGATTCCTATTTTGGGAAGAACCGTGCTGAGTGGTACGATTACCTGTGGATGTGGATGTTTAGGGCCATACGAAGGAGGGAAGCCTGATGCAACATTTTCATTTAAGGATGAGGATTTTGTGAAAGTTGCATTGGGGAAAATGAATCCACAGATGGCTTTTATGAGGTATGATGACCTTTCAATGGATTCTCAAGTTCCCGGCTTTCCTTTCTGGATGGTTCCTCTCAGGGGATTGAGTATTTTAACCAATTGCATTTTCTTTGAGATTCTCGCTTGAATTTTTTGTAAAAATGAGAATCTTCAAGTAAATCTGAGCCACCAATAATTCCAAACGACCGTTTCTTTTTCATTCTTGTACTTGTGTGTGACTAATTTTGTGGAGATTTATGAATTCAGGGGTGCAATGAAGATTAAGGGAAGTTTGAGTGCTGCCCAGAAATTCACGCCAGATATCTTCCCAAAGCCTTCCAAGATGTGAGAAAAGATGCCACTGACTCCGTGTACCGGATTTCTACATTATCCTCCAGCACCAATCAAAGATAGTAGATAGCTTATAAGCTAAATATATGCATTCATAGGACAATGGATGGCTCATAAATGTATTTCTGTTCTTAAGTATGTTGAGGTTATCATTTGCAAATTTGCCCAAAGCTTTAAGTAGTAAAATTTCTGTTAATATGAGATCTTAAATATTAAGATTGGATTGTAATTTTTTGGTGCTACTCAATATTTTTATCTTAAAATATTATAAAATATAATAATTTTAAAATGATTTTTTAATTTATTTAACTATGTTTGAAGTGCAGCAAGAGTGTACTTGTTGCTAGAGTTAAAAAATAGGCAGGCTCGACCCTTAAGGGTTGGTCCTTAACCTCAGTTTTTTTAAAATGCTTTATTTTTTAAAGTCTAACCTTTATATAAAAAGTTTAGGGTCAGGTTTATAAGTTTTTATTATTATTTTTTATTTTTTGGAAGTTTTAAAAATTAAAAATTTTAATCATAATATTTCATATATTTTTAAAAATACAAACTATAATGTTTAAAAATTAAAAATAAATAATAAAAATTTTAATTTTAAATTATAGACATAAATTTTAAAGTTTAAATTTAATTTTAAAATTAAAAATATTTTATTTTTTTTTTTAAAAATAAAAAGCGGGGTTAAAAAGATTGACCAAGTCTGGGCTCATTTTTTTAGAACTATTAGGGTTAGGTTTGAAAATCTGATTTTTTTAAAAAAAAGATATTATTTTTTAAGCTCCAACATCTATAAAAATAAATTTAAATGGATAAATTTTTAAGATCAATCTTTATTTCTCGATTTTACTTGGTGTCATTTGGCAGGGTACATCCCCTTCTGCACAGAGCGCCCATGAATTGTTGTCATTCCCCAAATTGCTTTGTTCAATGTTTTCTCCGATGTTAAACTGGACTTGAAAAGCCTATGCAAGTGCAAAGGCTGTTTCATTATATGCACTGGAATGTACATTTGTTGTTTAAGACGACGCTATGTTACCCCAAACTGGCTTGCATTCTATTTATTATTGGGTTAAATGATAATTTTACTTTCAAATTATAAATTTATGAGTGTCAAATATTGTAAACTTATTTTCATTTTTGATGCAATATTTTTCTTTATTTTTAAAAAACTATGTAATATTATTATTAATAAATGTCAACTTTAACAGTTAGTTGATAAAAAAATTACATAAGGGAATTAAAAAAAATTAGGTCATTTCTTGTAATTTTGAGATCATTGTATGTAATTTTGAATATTTTACTGTAATTTTTTTGATTTTTTTCTATAATTTTTAGGTTTTTTTTGGTAATTTTTGAAGTTATTTTTTATAATTTTCTAATTAACTAACAGTTAAAGTTAATTTTTGTTAATGATAAAAGTAATATTGTACCATTTTTAAAATTTAAAAAATATTATATTAAAAATAAATTTAAGATCCTAGATATTCTTTTATCTATAATTTAAAGTTGAAATTACCTTTTCAATCCTTTATATTATTTAAAAATTAAGATCGGACATTGATGGCCAATTTACCTCTTTTAATAAGTTGGAGGGAGTACCCTTCAGTTCTTACAGTTTTACTTTATCATGCCTTCTTTTGCTTGAATTGAATTAAATCAAGAGATAATTTCATTATAGGATCATGGTAGGTACATATTTTCTAATCACATTCAAATATTTTTGAAATAACACTGCAGGTTTTGAAGACCATAATAAAATTAAGTTTCATAGCAAAATGACGTTATTACCCTGAGTATTTAAACAAAAGTAAATAGCATATGGGAGAAATCATGTTTATAAGTAAGATTACAAACTTGACAAATAACGTAAGACAATTTATAAATAATATTAAACTTTAATAATTTAATAAATCATAAATGATTCTACATAGGATGAATATTGAATAAGTTATATTTTAGTATTAACAAGTAACGTAGAGGAACTTATAAGTAAGATTCTACAATTTACAAGTAAAGCCAATAAAATTTACATTAATTGTTGATATCAAATTTTACAAGACATTTTAATTGTGAAGTTATAAATTAATCGAGTTATGTATATATTTTATACCCATAAGCTGCAGTGGAGCCATGTTGGGTTGAGGGGTGCAAATGCACACCTCAATTTGGGAAAAATTATAAGTGGGTGCATGAAATTTATAACTTGGCACCCTTACTTTTGATAGTTCACACCCTCTGAATCAAATAAAAAATATTTAGCCTAAAAAATTTGTCAAATATGTAATATTTTAATAATTTAGATAAAATATGAAAATCATATTTATAATAAAAGATTATATTAATATTTTTAATATAATTTTTTAAATAAAAAATAATGATAAAATTATTTACATTATTACAATTTTAATCTCAGTATAATTATTATTTTTTAAAAAATTAATTTTTTATTAAATTATTTTGCACCCTTAACTCAGGGTCCTGACTCCACCACTACCCATAAGCATTTGACAAGTAACATAAGACAATTTATAAGCATTACTAGATGTTCTATAAGTGACGTTATTAATTTAACAAAGTAGTCATGAATAATTTTATACCGAATGAATATTACATAAATAATATTCTAATCTTAACAAGTAATTTAAGGGAATCTAAAAGTGAAATTAAGAAAATTTACATTAGTTTGAAGACAAGTACTCCCTCCGTTTAAAAATGTAAGATATTTTTAACCGAATCTTACCCTTAATAAAGTAATTATCTACTTTCAAACTAACCCTATCTTTTTATATTTATCTCTATTAAACACCCTATAATAAATATAAAATCATTCATTAATAGGAGCACTTTTAAAAAAAAATAATAATTATACATTAAAAAACTAAAAATGCCTTACATTTTTAAACAGAGGGAGCACATTATTAGACTTTGTAAATAAAAAGTCATATTAGGAGTTTAACAAGTTGTGCTTGGAATTTTATAATCAAGGGTGAACGTTAAAACAAATTATAATAGCATATACTCCCTTTCGGTCCCATTTACAAGTCACATTTTAAAAGATCCATTTGATCTCATTTATAAGTCACGGTGCAGTTTCTCAAGTAATATTTAAAAAGTATTTTTAAAATTATCTTTCATGAGAGAAAAAAAAGTAATATAATATTACTTTTTAGATTTGTTATATAAAAACATATATAAAATTCTACACACTTTTATTCTTTATATTTTTTTTACATTTATACTGATGAAGTTGGTAGAAATGACTTGTAAAAAGAATAGGAAGAATAATTCTCAACTTTTTATAATTTCCTAAAGAAATTTTTAGGCAAACCAAGTGTGCCACATCATTTGTGGTATTTTTGATGAAAATGTCTCAAATTATTTGAATAAAATTTTATGTGATATTATTTTAATTAATTTTATCTTATAATAAAATATATATTTAATTTTTTATATATTTTTTATTATCATTTATATTTAATATTATTTAAATATTATATTTTTATTGAATAAATAATAAATGAGGTGACAGGCTCATTTTACCTAACAATCTTTCAATTGTCCCATCATCAAACTCCTCGTAATGAATGTACGTAAATACAAATACATTAGTTCAATGCAAGCATAAATTACTTATGGAGTTAAGACCATCAGAAAATAGCATTTCCAATTATTCATTCCAACACCACATCAGCAAAACATAGTGGGAGTCCTTGGCTCGGACCCGGGCAATAGAACCTCGGGGTGAAGTAAACGCATAACGAAAGTCGCAGTCCCTAATTAAAGAAGCAAAACTCCTATTTCTTGAGCCTTAATTTTAGGCTTCCACCTCCATTTTCCTCTAATTGCAAAAGCAAAAGCATCTAACAAGTCATATCAGGGGTAAACCATCAGTTAAAACTTCATATGCATAAACAGTCTAAGAAATAGCCCAACAAAGAGAGAATAGGAGCAATTCAGAATTCTTAAACACAACTTCGACAATCATTTGGGTGACCACTGTTGCGTCTGCGGTGCGTTTTGTGTAATGCCCACGTGCAACAATCCGATCGAACAATTCTCCTCCTTCGCACAATTCCATGACCAAATGATTGGCATTGTCGTCTTCATATAGATGCCCTTTAAGGTCACGATGTTCGGATGATTTGGGACTCTTGAGCGGCGATGGAGGGATATCTTTGCTGTACTAACTTAAGAGAGGGCGTCGAATGAAGGAAGCGAGAATTGGCAACGATGACGGCAATGGCTTTGGAGGAGGAGGGAGAGTAATCAGGAGAGGAGGAAGGAAGGCGGTAACTTCTCCGATCTCTCTGTTTTTCTTGAATATTTATTTGAGGGTAATATGGTCATTTAGTCATTAAAGTATATTTCGTTTCAGTCTTATTAACTTGCAGTGAGTTGTCAGAATTTACTGGGTCTTATTTGTAATTAAATCATGTATGTGGTCCTATAATAAAATTCTCCCTCAAACCAAGCGTCAGAATTTAAGAGAAAGTACATCTAAAGTTCCTCCCCCCCCCCCAACACAATTACACCAAAATAAATCTTGGACAAGTCAAGTTCAACCGATTCTTATAAAAAAAATTAAGTCAACTTTTAAAAGATTTATTTAAAATTTGAAGGCCATGCTCCAGCCAATTAACACTAAAATTTTCTTCTCTATAACTATATATCACTCTTATATCCCAATTATCATTAATCTTATTATGCATTTGACATAAAATTCTACTCTTTACGCATGAACTTGACAATAATTGCTGCAGCATGTTCATATCTGTAGTAGAGTCAAATTTAATCATAACCCTCCTTACACCCAATCTCCATAGCGCGAGAAATCCACACTACACTTTTTATAACTATGCCTCCAAAGTTGTACACCCACCAATTTTATTAATGAAACCTCCCCCCATTGATCGTTAACCTCTCTTATTATTCCACCACAACTAGCATCACTAGGACATCTCTTAGCAGAATTATTAATATTCAGCTTCAACCATCCATCTTCAGGCAGCCAGCACCTAATGTCCTCCCATCTCTTTAGACATCCATTTTCATTCACACCATAAGCCTTTTCTAATCCAACCCACATATTTCAAAACTCTAGCAGAGTTCTCAAAGGAATCAAAACTATCATTAAATATCATTTTATTTCTCCCATACCACATATACCACACAGGCCCCCAAATATAAAATTCCAATCCCCCACCCCACCAACTTCAAATTCTTCTCAAGCTAACCATGCAAATCCAGACGCACCCATAGTTGAATTATGTTACAGTTTGTGAGTATTTGTTATGAGATTGATGAAAACATGATGAGTAAAAATTTATATAGCTGAGCAGTATATGAGTGTATTGAAAATATTTACGTATATTTTGATGTATTTCTGTTGATTTTGAATTTCACTTGAAGGTTACGGTGCTCGAGCCTGAATGCAAAAGCTGTATGTGGTGAAAAATTAGAAAGGAAACCAGCATGAGCATTGACAATTTGACATTATCAAACAAAAAGTTATCCAGACTGGCAGACTGATGCTTGTCAATAATTATTATACGTGAACAGCGTTTCTAGAAGTTGATAAGACTCGTCTTTCCTTCTTATCAGCTTATCTTCCAAGTTTTTTTCATTGTTATGATTTTCTCGACCTTTTATCATTATCCCAGATGAACGATTTATCTAGATTGCATGAGCAAAACCTAATATGGGTCCCTTTTTTGTTTTTTGTTCAATCAAAACTAGTGAGATACATTTTGATTATTAATTTGTTGTTCATCAATTCTGTCTTATATGTGTTCTTTTGCATCCATTTTGACTTGCTTGTTAGTTTTTTATTCATTGCAGAGGAGGCAATGGATATTTAGTTTGGTGCAAATGCTTCTTCAAATACTTATTAATTTGAATAAAAAATTTATTATATTAAAATCTCTTATTATGTTGAAAAATTTATCTCTTATTGTACTAAACCTTTGTTTCATTATCTTATATTAATTTAATTATATATATATATAAATATAAAATATTATATCAACCAACTTATATATTTAAATTTTCATAAATCACTTAATAAATAATTTTACATAACTAAAAATTTTTACAAAAGTAAAAACATGTAGTATATATGCATTAAATTTATTTTCTGGATGGCTTAAATGAATTTTACATAACATCTATGTTTAAAAATGAGTATTTTAGTTAAACATATATAACTTAACGATTAATTAATAGTTAAGTAAATGAAAATAATATTGTCAGAAAAGTTAGATAGGTTTTATATATAGAATAAAGGATCAATAATGTAAAATGTAAAGGGGTCGATGTATTTTACTTGAAAATATTAACATGTAATTCTCTTTTATGCAAATAAATCGTGTTTCAAAAAATAAAATCTTAACAAAATAATTTTACTTTTGAATAATTTTATGGGAAAACATAATATTTGTCTCTATAATTAATTTCATCAAATTTTGCTTTTAATTTTTATTTTTCAAATTTTTATAGTTTTTATTTTTTACTAGTTTTAATTCGTCTGGGGATTGAAAATATTAAAAAACGACAAAAATTAAAAAAAAAATTGATGAAACTATAGGGATCAAATATTACATTTTCTCTAATTTTATTCAAATTCAGGTTTGACATATATGACGAAGTGCAATAAATTAAAAGATAAATAAAATAAAAATATTGCTGTCAATGAAAGTAGTCCTTTTTTTTTTCCTTAAAATTTAAATAACACTGTTATACCATGTTATACCATTTCATGTGCTAATGATAATTAATTATTTATAACTTATACTAATAAAAATTATTTTTATACACCTGCATTGCATGGGATATTTACTACGAATATCTAAAGTCAATAAAATATGCTAATGATGCCTGGTTTGACAGTTAAAAAAAAGAAAATGAAGTTGATTGCGTGTGCACAAATGGACTGCAAAATCAGCACCTTAAACAATTTGTCGCGCATGGAACGGGAGGTATTTAGCTCAAAATAAATTGCGTCTATTTTTCAAACTCTATATCGGCCGGGAATAAGATGATCCTATGAAATCCGATCAATGTGAAACCAAATAACCAGACAATATCTGTTTCTGCATATACCCCAAATTTCTTCCAAAATCAACCAAATAATGCCTCTATATAAGGCCACGCCCTCAAACTGACACAACACAATCACTAAGCAGAAGCGCCAATACATAATAGAGGCCATGGCTTCCCTCCCCTTGCTCTGCATATCTTGTCTCTGCCTTTTCTTCTTTCCCCTTTCCTCATCCGCTGCTCTGCTCTTTCAGGTTTCATTTCTTCCTTGTCTTGTTTCGCCAACACAAATTCTCATTCAATATCAACTGAACTGAACTCAATTACAATCATAATGGCACTTGAATAAGCTTATGTTGTGGTATAGGGTTTCAACTGGGAATCAAGTAACAAAGGAGGATGGTACAACTCGCTCAAGAACTCCATCTCTGACCTAGCCAGCGTTGGAATTACCCATGTTTGGCTCCCTCCTCCTTCTCAATCCGTTTCTTCTCAAGGTAATTAACTGCTATTAATTCATAATAATTACCATCTCTCCTTCATTTTTTGGTCATGATCCTTTGTTTGACTTGTTCCCCAATGCCCAATTCTCATGCTTTCTCTTTATGATTCCCTTGAATGTTAATTAAGGATATCTTCCGGGAAGGCTATATGATCTGGACGCATCAAAATATGGTTCCAAGGATCAACTGAAGTCACTGGTCGCAGCTTTCCATGAAAAGGGAATTAAATGCTTGGCTGACATAGTGATCAACCACAGAACTGCAGAGAGGAAAGACGGAAGGGGAATCTACTGCATCTTCGAAGGTGGCACTCCTGATTCACGTCTGGATTGGGGTCCATCTTTCATTTGCAGAGATGACACTGCGTATTCTGACGGTACCGGAAATCTTGACAGTGGAGAGCCATACGACCCCGCACCGGACATCGACCATCTCAATCCTCAAGTTCAGTCAGAGCTATCAGATTGGATGAATTGGCTGAAGACGGAAGTAGGATTTGATGGATGGCGATTTGATTTTGTGAAGGGCTATGCTCCCAATATCACCAAAATTTATATGCAACGAACGTCACCGGATTTCGCAGTTGGGGAAAAATGGGACTCTCTGTCTTACGGACGAGATGGGAAGCCTGAGTATAACCAAGACGCTCATCGTGGTGCCTTGGTAAATTGGGTGAAAGAGGCCGGCGGCGCTGTGACTGCCTTCGATTTCACAACCAAAGGGATCCTTCAAGCCGCCGTACAAGGGGAGCTATGGAGGTTAAAGGATTCGAACGGGAAGCCGCCGGGAATGATCGGGACAAAGCCAGAAAATGCGGTGACCTTCATTGACAATCACGACACGGGTTCCACTCAGAAACAATGGCCATTTCCTTCGGACAAAGTCATGCAGGGATACGCATACATTCTAACTCATCCCGGAACACCATCAATAGTATGCTTTCTTTCTCCAATCTCGTGCTTTGTAATCAGTTTTTTTTTTTTTTTCCTTAATCATGAAATGTCAAACAGAACATGCTGTCCGTAACCTTTCGATGATGTAGTTCTACGATCACTTTGTGGATTGGGGGCTGAAGGATGAGATAGGGAGATTGAGTGGGATAAGGCGGAGGAACGGGATCAATGAGAAAAGCAGCGTCAAGATCTTAGCAGCTGAAGCTGATCTGTACATGGCAGAGATGGATAGCAAAATCATAATGAAGATTGGGCCTAAGATGGATCTTGAAGGGCTTGTTCCTTCTAATTTTCGACTCGCCACGTCAGGCCAAAACTACGCCGTGTGGGAGAAATCTCCACATCATTATACCGTATAATATATTCCATCGTGGCGGAACATGCTTTTCCTGTTTAAACTCACCAGTCATGCCCAAACAAATGTGGTCGAACGGCTCCTACAGTGTTTGACCACTTATATTTCAGAATATTTAGAACTTTCATCCTGGATCTGATCCCTGTCTAAGGCATTTGTATTAATGTCTAGCTTTTATATTAAATAATGGAACGTGCTGGTAGAGCTGGAAAATGAGCAAGCTCACATTTTATGTGTTCAAACTCATAAACTTAATTTAAAAAAAAATGTAGGTTTTTTTCTAAAACCCTTATTCAAAAGTTTTAGGACTGAATCCCTAAGCCTACTTTGTTTTTTAAAAATTCAACGTCGGAATTATAACATTGCAAATTAAAATCTCTTAAAATTCAAAATAAACAAAGACAAATCCAGGTCAACATCATCTGGAAAATAAATCTTTATCAATCTAGATCCAGATCTGTACATTGCATGGGTAAATTTCTACTTAAATTGAAATAAAATGATCAACCTTGAAAATACTTTTTTTCTTTTTAAAGAAACTTTGTAAATTTTTTAAGAAAAAAATGCTTTCAAGTGAGTTTGCAGGGTTTTAATATTTTGATATAAAATATAAATTTAGGTTCAAGATAGACTTGTTAAATTGTTCAAAGAAATTGCACTGCTTCGGAGAAATAATTAAACTTAAAGCAGAATTTTTTAAAACAACAATATAGCTCGCTTTAAATTACGGGTCTTATATTTATGAAAGATGTTGATTGGGAACATAATATTACAAGTCTCCCAAACCACTTGACCTTTTTTTTTTTTTCTCTTTTCAGACCTATTGGTGTCAAACTTAAAAATCAAGTTATTCTAAAAAATATCATTTTTTTATAAAAAATGAATTTAAATTAATAACCCGTCAAGTCCTGCCCGTGTTTGACTGAATATCATACGAACGTCTGTATAATAAAGTCGTTACTTTTCACGCCACGGAGCCGTGCGGTTCGCGTGGTTTCCTTGTCCATTGTGTGTATAGTACGAGAGACTAACTCGCCACGCTGGCCCTTCTCACTTCGGTTGCCTCGTTAAAAATCTAATTTCAATTTTAGAGAGCTAATGAGGTAGCGAATATCTTACCTACTTTTTTCAATAGTTTAATATTCTCTTTTTTGGGCTCTTGATCATCCCATCTTGCTATTGCAAAGTGGTGAATAATAAAAGGACAACTTGATTTGTTGGGGTCGTGGCTTTGTCTCTTATGTTTATTCGTGGCTCTAAGGTTTGTGTAGTTTAATTATTTGTAGATATATCTTTGTTTACTAAACAAAAATCTAATTTTAAGGTACTTTTTAAGTTACCTAGATTTGAATATTTTTTGGGACATATTGTTTGATGAAAATATGACCAGTAACACTTTTTCAATACTTGATTTATTTAAAAGAAACTCGAGGTGCAAAAAAGTTGCAAAAAACCGGAAAAAAATAGCATGTTCGTGGAGGAAGAAGTAAGAGAAATGATCAAATGATTGTTAAAAATAAAACGGAACAGGGAAAAAAGAAAGGAAAATGATAATTAGTGACTTTATAAAAACATTAATGATAATTACAAACTTTAAATTATTAAAATATAAATATCATGGTCCTTGCTTGCAATAAACTATCTTTTTTATTGATTGGATTGACATTGATGATGCATTTTATTAAATTTTCAACTAATGCTACAAATATTTTTAATTATCTTCTATTGATTTTTCAAGCAATAGCAAAAAATTAAAAGTAATTGACTTGTAATTAATAATTAATTATTGTAAATTTTTAATTGATGTTACAAATAATTTTAAATACATTTAGTAAATTTTGCAAACAATTTATTTATATATTGACAACAACAAAAAATTATAAGTGATTAGTATGCAATTTATAACTTACTCTTATAAATTTTTTAATTAACATTACAAATAATTCTAAATATATTTACTCAATTTTTCAAATGGTTTATCTATACATTAATGATAAAAAATTAAGATTCATAACTGACTTTGTTAATTTTTATATAATATTATAAATAATTTCAAGTGTATTTAATAGATTTTTGAATAGCCTATTTTCATTTTTTTAATTGCAAATAAAAAGCATAATTTATTATTAAAATTTTAATAATTTAAAATCTATAATTATCATTAATATTTTTATGAAATCTCTAATTGTCATCTTCCCAAAAAGAAAATATAAGGCATGTCACCCGAGTCTGGAGAGAAGGCAAGCTAATGTTGTTCATACAAGAAAGCAAGTCCCTAAATTTTTTTCTTTTTCAGGAAAAAGAATTTACAGGTCCTTAAAATTTCACTCAACTTCAAATTAAGCTCTTATAATTTATTTTATTTTAATTAAACTCTTGTAGTTTGATTAATTAAATTTTTGCATCCAATCATTAAATTTTTTCTTTGAAAAAATTAAAAAATTTTACATTTTTATTAAATAATGACTGTATGACTTTAGAATTAATTACATAATTTTTATAACTCAAAATTTAAATAACTATTTTCTTCTGAATATATTTTACACATAAAGGATTTTCATAAAAAATTAATAAAAATATAAATAGTGTATTGAATCAATTTTTTTATTTTGGCTAAAAGTATTAAATTAAATTTTCTTTGAACTCCAACAGTGTTTTTATTTTATAAAATTTAATAATTTAATATTAATTTTAACTTTCAAGGATTAGCATGTATAATATATCAAATTATAATGAATTAATTAAAATAAAATAAACTATAAATATTTAATTAAAAATTGAGTGAGTCTGTAAGGATAAACAAATATATTTTTTCTTTTTGACAGAATAAGTCCTTGAAGTTGAAACTTGTATATTTAAGATAAGTTTTTTTAGTCAAATTATGAAACTTATATTTTTTTAGGGTTGAAGTACAAACCTATTTCAATATTTTCAACCAAGCATACCTCATATATTAAAGTATTTTTTGACACAATTTCATCCTAATATTTTTCAAAATGGTACAATGTTGCTTCACTATTCGGTTTGACCTGGTTGACTATTAATTTAATTGTTAATCCTAATTTTGGCAGCCATGTGGCATATTTCTTAAATTAAAAATTAAAAAAAGACCCAAATTCAAATGTCTTGTCATCTCTCCTCTACCCCTTTTACTTCCCTAAAAAAAAAAAAGAAAAAAATTAGTTATATGAACTCCTATGTGATTGTCACTATGGCACAAAATGATTAAATTTTCATAGTCAATGGTGAAAGTTGTTAAAAGCTCATGATGGGGTGAAATTGTAAAAAAAATAAAAAACGTTAAGGTTAAATTGTGCTACAAGATACTTTAGGATATAAAGTGTGTGGCTGAAAGTTTTGTAGACAGATTTGTATCTTAACCTTTTTTTCATGCATAATTCACCTCACGACTGACAAGCAATTATTCTTGTTAACACTCTTAAGTTATTATTAATTTTATTTCACTTTACTTTTAAAGAGTTGTGGATTTAGCATATAAGTTCAACCACGTAGCCACTTTACTTTAATTTAATTATCAATTTGATTCCTAAAATTTAATTTTTATCAAAACAATCTTTAAATTTTAATGGTCATATAAAATTAATCCTTATAATGCTATTTTTTCTTCAAACTACAAGAACTAATTATATATAATTACTAAATTTTAAGGACTTGATTGACTAAAATTAAATTTTAGGGATCAACTTAACAATGATAACAAGCTTGAGAAATTAAGAGTTTGATTATTCCAGTATTTAGTTATAGCTATCTCTGTTTAATATTAATTAATAAAAATGAAAGAAATATTTTTCATCTACATTCATTTTTCTTATCTTATATTTTTATTTAATTTCATTCTACTTAAAATATGACATAAATATAAATAAGAAGAATTGTATAGTTATCAAGGATCGAAGTTTGTTACGAATAAATAATGCACTAGGTCAACAAGGTCCTTGCTCTAACCAACCACAGAGCTAAAGTCAATGACAGTCACCATTTAATTTCTATTAAGCCTTTTTTAGCATGGAGCATTAGAGGGTTGAGATTAGGTTAGAGAAGTCTCACTTTTAACATGTTTGGTGTAAATCACTCACTAATTCTTAGAATTGTTTAGTCCCACTATTAATACTCAAATCCACTACCTCCTAGTATTGCAAAGTTAATTTTGGGGTTGAAATTACCATGACCAAAATGCCTTCCTATAATATGTTCAGATCTGACTCTTTCTATTCTCCTTCGCCTGGTTTGATCGAACATATTTATTGTGGATGACTTTGGCGGTGACTTCCTCTTGTTGGCGACAACTTTATCTTGCCATTGATGACTTCCTCTCGTGCCAGCGACGCAAAGCAAAGAACAAAAGCATGGATGACGAAGCTTATGATAAGATTCATTTTCTCATTTCAGATTTGGTGATGTGTAAGCAAGAACAAAAGTAGAGACAATGAAGGGCTGTGACAGGATGCCTCTTGTTTCATATATTTTTTCACTCCATTTCAGCTCTGTTTCCAATCTTGTTTCAAAAGATGAAAACTTACACACCATTTTAGATTTGGGTTCTTGTTGAAGATGAAAGCTCTCATTCTATCTCCAATCTAGGTTAAAATCATCTATTCCTTGAAATTGTGTTAGACTTGGGTTCAAGATCATCTTCTTCCTCCCTTAATCATGCAAATCTGTACATCTTCATCCCCAATGGTGTTTTTTTATATTAATAATAAAGGGCATTATAATATTTTTGATTGATTTTAAAAAATATTAATGCAAGTATTCAATTCAAACATCATTCATAACAAACAGATTTTTAAAGTATCAATCCCACCCTCAATCCCAATCCCAATCCCACTCCTAATATCAATCACAATCTCAATCTCTTAAAATTCATACCCATGCACTAAACATAGCCTTAGCTCTCATACATCTAATAACTCTGTTTTTATTGAATTTAGTTCCTCTCTAATGAGGGGTCATTACTCAGCGCCTCCCTTGGAGTATATGAATTATTCATATTTTAGATTTAATGTTTTTATTTATTTATTTTAAAATAAATAAGTGAATTATTTTCTGAACTTTATATTTAGTAGTATCATAAATTTTAAACTTATTTATTATATAAATTATTTTCTCAATTTTTACAAACAGTACAATATGGTTATTGTCATCAATAAAAGCTATTTTTTAGTGTTAGTTGATTATAAAATAATATAAAAGAACCTCAAAAATACAAATAAAGACCTAAAAATTTATAGAAAAAATTTTGATGTCTCTTTCTGTTATTTTAATTAGTTAACGATTAAAATTAATTTTTGTTAACGATAAAGGCTATATTGTATCATTTTAAAAAGTTGATAGAACAATCTGCACAATAAATAAGTTTATAATTTATGATGTTATTGAACCTAACGTTTATGAGGTAATTTTTTACTCATTTACTCATTATTTTATATCTATTAAAATAAAAAAGTTATATGAATTATAAAAAAAATTAACAATTATGTTTGCCACTCTAAATAATCCAAATTTAATATATATGATCTAAATTGAATATTAAAAATTTATAAAATTTATAACAAAATTAATATTAGATCTGCATTTTATATAGTACATCTGGATAACTAATTTGTAAAATTATAAATTTTTTAATATTAAATTTAGGCAATTCATATTAAATTTGGACTCTCCAAGCTAATAAATAAGTTTATTAAAATGTTTTATAATTTAAATAAATTGTTTATTTCATTAGATGTAAAATAAAAATAAAAACATTAAATTTCAACCATGCATATTAAATTTAGGAGGGAAGCCGGTTCCATTTTTATTTAGGTTTCCTTAGTTTTTTTTTTTTTTGGCTTTTTTATTGTGTTCCCATAATTTCTTCAGCAGCAGGCGCTATTTCCTTTGCCTTAGTGGCTACTTTTTATTTTTTCGCCAAAAACGAAAAGACATGTATTCAACAAAATACAAACTGGCGACACCAAACCAAAGTCGAAAAGACAATAGAAATAGTAAAAACAACTAGAACACCAGCAAAAGAAAGAAACAGAGGCCCGAAGGACAAAGAAAATGCAAAAACATGAATTCCCAATCTTAAACAAGCCATCAATTAGAATTGTAACACCCGATCTTTCGATTACTTATCCCTAAATGCAACTTGAGCACACCAAATAGCAGCTGCAGAAGTCAAAGCAATGAGAGCCAAGAGCTTTGCCAAGATTGATAAGTTCCTCCACTAGAATTATGCAACCCGATTCTACGCAAGAAATTTCACCTTTAACAGTCTGAATTAGTGGAAGACAACCAGATAGAACCAAAACCTCTACAAGACCACTCTCAAAACACCATAACAAACCAGAGTACAATGCAAACGTCTTAGTTCCGAATAAAGAAGATACCACCGAACCGCGACTAAAGCATAAACAATCACCATTTGAAGTCCTAGCAATAAGATCAAGGCTTGCCTAATTAACATTTTTATCAAAAGCACCAATAGTAATTAATTCCAGACCCCACCTTTAATAGAACCTGTCATTTGAAGCTTTCAACAATCTGCTGTCAGAACTTTCTGCACCAATCCTTGCTCTTGACCAACCATTAACCATCCACAAGAAACTAGAGATGCATGAACAATTCGAGTAATACTCAATGGATTATACCCTAGGTTGCATAAGTATGGGACAAGCATCTGATTCCATACTAAATGATACGACAATACAATACATTTTTAAAATTTTATGATATGAATACAAGAATATTTATAATATATATTTTGATATTTTATAATATATGCATAGGTATTTTAATTTTTAAATAAAAATTTTTAAGGTAATATAAGAATATCTATAACAATTAACTAAAATATTAAGTTTTTTTTTTTAAATTTTTAAGTGATATAGTAAAAACTTATTGAAAAAAAATCACATTATAAATATTAGAATATGAAATGTACACTCCTATAACTATCTTATCAAATATGAATACGTTTAATTTTTTGAAGTATTTATGCTTCATAAATTATACCCCTACCTTACAAACACAAAAACCAGGTCCAAATTATTAAATTTCCAGATTGAGAACATAGACAACACCAAACCTACTCAATCCCCCTTCCAAATATACCACTTAAACTTCCTAGATCCCATAGAAATAGAGCAGCGTTGCTCATACACTATACTCAGAAGAGTCAGTTTCAACCATATCCTTAGACTGCTAACACGAAACAAAATTTTGCTCATAAAGGTAAGGAGGATCACTACATCGAGAGACATAGCCCTTCCCCCTCACAAAATATGGACAACTCTTCCATATCAGATAAACAGGGATTGGAATGTACAGAGAAGTGAAAGAATTATACCACAGAGGAAAGGATTCATATATATCTATCAGTAAATTGAGCCAATGACTCAGAACCACGAAACCCAAATCTTCCATCCAAAAAGATCCGCATCGCTCTTCGATCATCGCATCCTGCACATCCAGCCTCCACACCTCTGCGTTCATCATGGATTCATTCTTCGCAATCATCAAAACTAACAAGACTGAGCCTAAATATGATGGCACCTAAAAACAAATCATCTGCCATTCCTATGCAATCAGATAGCCTTCATACTTTACTCACTTGTGGCCCAACCCTAATGAACAATCCAATCCCACTCTGATGGTCGCCTATCACCTTCGAATCATAAATCCTCGTTGCTCCCAAAGTTTCATCATCACATCTTGATCTCCTCCGCGCAGGCACCCAGACCCAAACACACAAAAACTTGTAGAACCAAGCCTTCCACTCACTCTTGCTGGACGAGAGCCGAGAGAAGAAATCCGCTGATCGCACCATCATCACATGGAGAACCCTCCGAAGAAGAGGGAAGGGGGAAGCCTTGGCAGATCACACCTTTGCAGGGCCGCTTGCGATGACCCACTCTCACAATGGAACCCCTAGGAGTGAAAGGAAAAAGTACCAGTCTTTTTAGGTGGCTTATCTTATTACCTTAGCGCCTTAGCGGCTACTTAGGTGGCTAATAGAGCGATAGGGGAATGATTATAGGCTCTACGCATGGATTAAAATTCCATATAGACTTCAAGTTAAGCAACCAGAACCCTTACATGGATATGAAGAGGGAGAAGCATGCATCAATTCAGAAAGCAAAAATCTGGTGCCCTTACAATGCTTGGATTGATAGCAGCGAAATTTTGCCTTGCCGACTGAGAGCTTCACATGGACGCCATGAGAGAGATTGATGCCTGAGGTGATTTCATTGAACGCCTTCAAATGCTTTTTTTCCGTAAGTTTACGTAGCAGCACCGTTATATACTCTTGAAATTAATGGATTTTAAATTTAATTATAGACATTAATGCCTATGACTGAAAAATCTATAAGATCCCAATCAAAAGAAAAAAAAAAAACTTAGATCTAATTTTTGATTAGTTGAAATTATAGGATTGGCTTATTAATTTTTGGAAGAATGATAAATAGTCCCAAGAGAATTAATTAATTAGAATTAAATCTTAAATGTCAAACTTTAAAAATTTATAAATTTAACTCTCAATTTTATAATTTTATCGTGATAAATTTACAACCTTTTTTTAAATTTTAATATGCTTAAAGAATAAATAAATTCATTTTCTCTATTAAAATTTAAAACACAAGTTATAAATTTATTATAATAAAATTATAAAATTAAAAACTAAATTTTTAAAATTTAATATTTAAGATTTAATTTAAATTAATTGATTTTCTTAAAACTTACCCATCATTCTCTCTTAATTTTTCCAATTCTATTTCAAAATTAATAATTGGAACCCAGGGCCCTCATTCATAATTCATAAAGGCATATATCACATATCATATAAATATACATATAGGTATTCAGGGGTGAAGCATATTATAGCAAATTGGCAATGCAATGACCAGGCTTCATTCATAAATCCGCGCGCACATGCGTGCGGTAACAATTAATTATTGGATTTGGATTGATTAAGGTAATTTAGATCAAATACGGGTACAATGTATATATCCTTAGAAGTGTACAAAAAGAATCGGATTCACACTCCCAAAAACTTGTGAATCTTATCTCCAATAACCTGAAGGTTTCTCCCGCTGGGGTAAAACTTTTAATAGTTTTAATGAACTTAGCAGCTGGGAGCAAGAATGAATTCCCTCAAGTGAATACAATTTATAAAAAATATACACATTCTATAATGTACTATTCCAAATTTAAAAAATTAATTCTTACTATTCATAAATCCTAAATAATATATTTATTGCAAGGCGACACCCCTCAGTAACACAAGCACTTAATTAGTAGAAGCGGCAACGAAACAGAGTAGCGAGGCCATGGCTTCCCTACCTTTGCTGCTCTGCATATTTTGTCTCTGCCTTTGCTTCTTTCCCCTTTACTCATCTGCTGCTCTGCTCTTTCAGGTTTCACTTCTTCTGTGCTTTTGCTTTTCCTCACAACAATTGGCCTTGATGTATTTAATTATGCCAACAATCACAATATAATGGCAAACATGGGAATAAGCTGATGCCGTGATATAGGGTTTCAACTGGGAATCAAGTAACAAAGGCGGATGGTACAACTCGCTCAAGAACACCATTCCCGACCTAGCCAGTGTTGGAATTTCCCATGTTTGGCTCCCTCCTCCTTCTCAATCCGTTTCTCCTCAAGGTAACTCCCAGTAATGCATAATAATCGCTATTTCTCACTCAATTTTTGGCCATCAAGGTTTATTTGCTCCTGACTTCCCGTTGACTGTCATTTAAGGGTACCTTCCCGGAAGGCTGTACGATCTGGATGCATCAAAATATGGTTCCATGGAGGAATTGAAGTCACTGATCGCAGCTTTCCATGAAAAGGGGATAAAATGCTTGGCTGACATTGTCATCAACCACAGAACTGCAGAGAGGAAAGACGGAAGAGGAATTTATTGCATCTTCGAAGGTGGCACTCCTGATTCACGTCTCGATTGGGGTCCATCTTTCATTTGTAAAGACGACACTGCGTATTCTGACAGCACCGGAAATCCTGACAGTGGAGAGCCATACGACGCCGCTCCGGATATCGACCATCTCAACCCTCAAGTTCAGTCGGAGCTTTCAGATTGGATGAATTGGCTGAAGACGGAAGTAGGGTTTGATGGATGGCGATTTGATTTCGTGAAGGGCTATGCCCCCAGCGTCACCAAGATTTACATGCAACGAACCTCGCCAGATTTCGCAGTCGGAGAAAAATGGGACACTCTGTCTCTGGGGCAAGACAGCCAGGACGCTCATCGTGGTGCTTTGGTGAATTGGGTGCAAGAGGCAGGCGGTGCTGTGACTGCCTTCGATTTCACCACCAAAGGGATTCTTCAAGCTGCTGTAAAGGGAGAGCTATGGAGGTTGAAGGACTCGAACGGGAAGCCGCCGGGAATGATCGGGACGAAACCCGAAAATGCGGTGACGTTCATCGATAATCATGACACGGGTTCCACTCAGAAACTGTGGCCATTCCCTGAAGATAAAGTCATGCAGGGATACGCGTACATTCTAACTCATCCTGGAACACCATCAATAGTATTGTCTCTTTTTCGACCTCGCGCTTTAATTATTATCAAGAAATGTTGATCAGAAAATGCTTTCTGCAACCCTTAGTTTTGGTTTTGTTTTGTAGTTCTACGATCACTTTGTGGATTGGGGGCTGAAGGAGGAGATTGGGACATTGAGTGGGATAAGGACGAGGAACGAGATCAATGAGAAAAGCAGCGTCAAGATCTTAGCAGCTGAAGCTGAAATTTACATGGCAGAGATAGATGAGAAGATGATCATGAAGATTGGGTCAAAGATGCAACCTGAAGGTGTCGTTCCGTCTAATTTCCGACTCGCTGCCTCGGGGCAAGACTATGCTGTGTGGGAGAAATCTTGATAAAGTAGAGGAGTTTTCGTCCATCGCTTTTATATTTCATTTTTATTTATCTCGCCCATATCAATATAAAAAAATAAAAGTATATAAATTTTTAAATATACTTTTATATATAAATTTAAAAGTGATATTATATTATTTTTTTGTAAAAAATAATTTTAAACATATTTTTAAAATATTATATAAAGAAATTGCACTGTAATTTATTAATAAAATTAAATAAATTTTTTAAAATATATCTTATTAAATAAGAGGAAATAACATCGTGCATTGTATTGTACACAAACTGGCTTGTGTCCTGACAAAAAAAAAAAAAAAAAAGGCCTGTGTCCCCACACAAGCGTGGCCTTCGTTTACTATAAAAGTATATTGAGTATGTTATCTTTTATGCATTTAATTCATTTTCTCTGTCAGAATCTATCAGTTTTTAATATATTGTTGGTAAGTTATAAACATATTCATTTCTCTTTGACTTTGTATATTTTGTTATTTTTTACTTTTTTTCACAAAAGTTGATTGAATTTTCTTATTTTTTTGGTATTGTATTTTAACTTTTGTAGTCACTTCTCCGGAATTAAGTCTTAAAAATGATAACATTGTTCAAAAATTTTGAAATTACTATACGGGAAAAATATATAGTATGTATATTGTATTGTTTTAAACCAAAAAACTTCTTTCAACCACACACTTAATTTTCGCTTTTTTTTTTTTGGGGGGGGTCAGAATTCTCCCATGCATCTAAAGGTCGAAATTAATCAAGTTGACAATGGCGATACGAAATATAAAAAAATTGAAAATACATTTGATAATATTATATGATAAAATCTCAAACAATCATTTAGTTAAATCAAATATTATATTATCATGTGACATGAGATACTTATTTAATCAGTGGGGTGCTTAAGGCACGTTGCCGAATTTATATAAATAATATGTATCATGTATCATGTATGTCTCAATGTCTTATTTATAAGCTTTTCAAGTAGAATCTTAAAATGTTATATTTTTTAATTAAACTAATATGGTATCCTTATGGGTGATATATAATCATAATATAGAAAGGTTACTAAGATAATTACCCTTTTTAGTTATCAGAGATTTTGCATTACATTTCGTTAACCCGCTATGATTGCTTATTCTTTTTTACAAGATGTTAATGTATTATTATTGATCTTATTATAACCGTACCAAGTGATCAAATTAGAGTAGTGTACTTGTTGACTATAAGTTAAGGATGACATATTCATGATGAATAAGAATTTTTTTTTTTCCTTTGGGGTAAAGAATTGATCACGGTCATTGAACAAGAGATGGTTTCTGGCATTTTTCCTTGAGAAGAGATTCAAAGCTGCAGCAAAATTCATGGGCGCATCCTGACTTTTCTGTATAGTCCGTCGTTACATGCACGTTAGCAGACCTAACTTATGGAGAAAATTGTAGGGATGCCCAGATGGATGAAAGTAAGAGGAAGATGCAGGGAATTGAGAGGATACAGGGACGCCACGTAGTCTTAGATTTTTGCCATTCGCCCTCAATCACTCCATGAGTTCATGCTCCATATCGTTTGGATAACCATTCTTTCTCTGCTGCCGTCGCAGCCGTAGCCGCCTGAAATTATTTCAACTCCAGATCTTTCTCTATTCATTCATTTTAGGAAAAATTTCAGTTAAAGATTAGTAAAGAGATTTAATTTTAAATAAATTTAAAAAATTTTAAAATTTTAATTTAATTTAAGGCAAAAAAGTAAAAAAAAAATTAACGACAAAAAAACCAAAATACAATACCTTTGTTATGTAGAATTATTACTTATTAATTTTCTTTCTCTATTTATTAATTTATAAATATGAATTATAAATTATATGAATTGACATACTAATAATTATATAAGAATTAACGTCAATTTTTTAATCATAAATAATACTATTAATTATTAAATTTTTAATTTTATTTATTAATTTACTAACATTAATTATAAATTATTAATAAATTTTATAATTTACCAACATCAATTATAAATTATTAAAAATTTTTATGATTTATAATTAATATTAATAAATTAATACAAATTAATAATTAATATTATTAATTGTTTGGCAAATTTATATAATTTACGAGTAATATTAATAAATTAATAAATATAATAAAATTTTTTTAAGCTGACGTAAAATTAAATTTTTATCGTATTTTTTAATTGAAATTCTCCCTCTATATTAATTTACTAAAGACGATATGTATTTAATGGGAGAGAGAAATGAAAGGAAAACTTATATTCAGTTGTCAATGTTTCTGAAGGAAAAGGTCGCGGCTGTCAGATACTTCGATGCTGCTTCCTCTAATTTTTTTTTTATAAATTTTAAATCCTCTGTTTTTATTAATATAATACCGCAGTGCTCACCTCATACAGCTAAACCAATACAACTAAATAATTATTAGCTAGTTACATTTGCAGCAAACATATTTTTCTAGGACTATCGTTCTTTGATTCATGGAGGGGTTTTGGGATTTAAAAACACTTGCTTAGTTTTTTTCTCCCTTTAACAATGCCAATGAGATTATGAGAGGCATTTTTTTTAACAAAAATGTATTTAATAGTATGAAGTATTGTTTACTGTGTTTATTATATTTTCAAATTATTATTTAATTTTTATTTTAAAAAATTATATAAATTTGCTATTTACTTATTATTTTATCAAATGCATCAAATGGATTTCAATGCACATTTTTATTTAAAATTGACTACAGACGTTTTACACATCTTCAATTTCGTGAAACACCCGGGATATTTTTTTAATTAAAGTTAATGATACCGATCATTTTAATGGAGTTCATTAAGCGAGTTTTTTGACAAGGCAGTTTACATTGATCTTCAGAAATATATCTTTTTCGGTTACTTTTACTAAAACCATCTATAAAATTAAATTGTGAACTTGTATTTTATACAGAGTCTTAAAGTAAGTTTCTGTTCATGATTAATGTTATGACTAACATAGCATGTAGACTTCTGGATTATAGGTTAAAAAGAGTATTTGTCACATTTTCATTTAATACAACATAGGATGAATGAGTCCACGAGGTCTCAATGAAACATTTTTATGAGGTGTTTGCCGTAGACCGTAGGAAATATCTATAGAACAGAGTCAAGCTGTCCATTAGGATCAATTATCTTTGGTCAAAACTTGAAAGGTGCTTTCCGCGTAGTGACATCATTTCAAATTTGATGCCTAACGCACTAGCACTAGCAGCACAAAAGGGGACGCATCCATACACGCCCTTTGAAAGTTCAAAGCAGAGCCGTACGTGGTAGATGCCTATAAAATGCGGCTGAATCACCCTCAACCTCAAGAGTCCTCAACGCAAAATCTAATTAAGAAACATGAAGTCTCTCGCCTCCTTCTGTTTCGTTTTCCTCTGCATTTCACTTCTCCCTTCCTTCTCCTCCTCTTCCATACTGTTCCAGGTACCACCTATATATCTATTTCCTTGATTAATTACTCCTTCACTCTGAATACACATGAAACCAATTTGTCGAGTTTCACACGGTGTATATCTATCTATCTGCAGGGTTTCGACTGGGCATCCAAAGATAAAGCAGGGGGATTTTACAACTATCTCAAGACCCAGGTCCCTTTGATTGCAGATCTTGGAGTCGACTATGTTTGGCTTCCTCCTCCCTCCAACTCTGATCCTAAGGGCCCTGAAGGTTCGTATATACCTCTTCTAAAACTTAATTCTTTTGATCGGTTCATCCTTCGGGGTCTTTGTCTTGAATTTTTATTTATTTTAAAATATATATCTGCACTCAACTTGCAGGATACTTGCCGAAAAGATTATATGATCTTGACACCTCGAAATACGGTAACAAGGAGGAATTGAAGTCACTGATAGCAGCATTCCGCGATAGAGGAGTGAAATGCATCGCCGACATAGTCATCAATCACAGAGCTGCCGAGAGGCTGGACGAAAGAGGACTTAGTATCTTCGAAGGTGGTACTCCCGATGACCGTCTCGACTGGAATGTGTCAGAAATCTGTTCCGATGATACGCAGTTTCATGGCACCGGAAATCCCGACACCGGCATCGGCTGGGGGGATGTACCGGACATCGACCACACCAATCCCAGGGTGCAGCGAGAGCTCGCTGACTGGATGAACTGGTTGAAGTCAGACGTTGGATTCGTAGGATGGAGGTTCGACATGGTTTTAGGCTACGCTCCCAGGTTCACCAAAATCTACATGGACCAGACCACACCGGAATTTGCAGTCGGAGAGCTTTACGAGAAGGTCACCATGGGCTCAGACGGAAAACCCTTGGCGAACCAAGACCCGCATCGTGCGAGACTGGTGAAGTGGGTGCAAGACGCAGGTGGGGCCGTCACGACCTTCGACTTCACAACCAAAATGGTGCTCGGAGCCGCCGTACAAGGTGAACTGTGGAGGATGAAAGATGCGAACGGTAAGCCACCGGGGATCATCGGAACCGACCCATCCAGTGCCGTCACCTTAATCGATAACCATGACACTTGGTCACAGCAAACCTGGCCCTTCCCGAAGGATAAAGTCACGCTTGGTTACGCTTACATACTCACTCACCCAGGCCATCCCTCAATCGTACGTACCTTGTTTTTCTTTTGTTTCAGTTGTTTCAGAGGAATATAAATATTGCAGTTGCAGAGTTGCTTACTGTGTGTTGTGTTGGGTGCACGTGCAGTTCTACGACCACTACATCGATTGGGAAGAACAACGAGCGCCCATAAAGAATTTGACGGACATCAGGAAGAGGAATGGGATAAACCCGACGAGCAGCGTCAACATTCTGGCAGCTGATGCTGATCTGTACATGGCTGAGATAGACAACAAGATCGTTGTCAAGATTGGGCCCAACGGTGATCTGAAGAACCTTCTTCCTCAAAATGCGGTGCTTGCTACCAGTGGACAAGACTTCGCCGTTTGGGAACTTCATTAACAGCCCTCTCCAATAAAATTGATGTTGAATCAAAATAATATGTCAATTTCTTCCCATCAATATATGTTTAACATAAACAAATTTCTTATGGCTGCGTATGAAAAACGACAATAATTGTAGCCAGTAGCCACAATAGTTATATCCATTGGCGTCACTGTACTTATCAATGCTTTGACCTTTTTTCCTTTCTATTCTTTTCGTGCTGATCATGCATGGAACGAAGCGGATAACACAAGCAGAATTGCAGTAAAGAGAACAAAGGGAAAATGACGTTTAAGGAGCATAGTGACGTGACTATATATATATATATATATATAAGGGTTATATAAGATCAAGAGGGTTGAAACGTAATATGCAGCATTTCTCTGCTACTGTCTTTTATAGGAGTAGAGAGACCAACTCTATATGCAGATCTTAATCTGTAAAGCAGCATTTCTCTGCTATCCAGTGACGATAATTCAGAATCTTCGCCAACATGGAGATAAAAGAAGAGTTGAAAAATTGAAAAGAATTTTTAGCTTTTCAGACCAAGTAAAGGGAATCATTATAGATTTTCAATTAAAAAATGACAATTTGCTTATCTTTATTAATCAAATTGCCAAAGATTAATTAATTAACAAGCACGTTAAAATGAGCAACTGTACGTAACGGTGATCAAAGAAATGGCTTGATTCAGTTTTAATCAAGACATGAACTAAACTAAATCAATTGGTTTACACAAAGAATAGCATTTGATTAGTTTTTTTACTAAGGTCGGTTTGGTTTGGTTTTGTTCGATTTAGTTTATACATGGATTAAGTTTTAATATTTTTTTGACTGTTTTTTCTTTTCATATTTCAATACATATCATCACATTCTCAACTTTATTATTTATGAATAAAAATAAATATAATATTAAAAATAAAAATGTTTAAATTTTGTTATTAACAAACATTAGAGTATATGCATTACACATATCGTTAACATAAGTTAAATTTCATTACAAATTATCTTAATGTCTATAATCAAAAGAAACTTATTTTAAATCAATAAAAGGGAAATGTGTTTTAGTAGTAAGTCTTGAAGTATATGACCCTTCTCAGGCAGCAACAGCAAAATGCCTCTCCTTAATCTGGACCATCTTTTACTCTAAAAGTAATTAATAAAATAGAGAACAGTAGAGTTAGAGATTCTATCAAAGTATTTTGGGTTTAGGTTGGACTTTAATTGAAGTTAAAATTTAAAAATAAGAAGCACTAATTAGTAGTCTAATATTAATTATAAAAATACACTTAAAATATAAAAAAGGTATGGTTTAGATTTTAAAGGAAAAGAATTGAAACTTGAACCAAACCATTTAATTTTTTAATTTATAAAATCAAACCAAACCAGACCTTACTAATTAGTTTTATTCAGTTTTGATTGGATTGATTTGATTGGTTTTATTCAATTTCGCTCACCCTAACCATATATCATTAATGTTATCATCGTTAGATGTAATATGAGATAGTGTTTAGTTGGAGGGGAGGGAAGGAAAAATTTTAAAAAATCTCCCCTCCTCTCCACCTTACCAAACAAGGGGTGTAACTTCACGAGTTTTAATTCCCTGATTAATTAAACATAATTAGGGTAATTAAGTAAGTTGAAGTGGTGTGTGGCCAGAGAAATCTAATCATCATATTTGATGGTATTTCAGCCCTAGTTGTGGGTCCAGTATCGAGGCGGGCTACTTAGACATCGAAAGGAGAAGAAAAGGAAGAGTTGATATTGCTGTGCCACGCACAACGGCATGTAGACCGTTTGTCACGGCACATAGCCATTTCTGAGCAAAGGGGGACCTCTCTGTGCCATGCGCGCAGCACATTATGTGTCCGTCGTGGTGCATAGCTATTTTTTACAGTTTATCAAACGTGAAATGAGACAAAAATAGAGAGAAAGAAAAGAGGAGAAATGGAGAGGCGCGCCAATGCTCTGCTAAGGTTTACTTAGAGATGACTTTGGGAGTATTTTGAAGGTTACAAACGCTTAAGGTAAGTATCACACTTATTAATCTCCCTATATTTTTCACATTTATGAATTTATGGTTAGAATTTAATAGTGAAAGTGGAATTTTGATCCACATAGGTTATGGCTCTAAATTTGTTAACTTAAATGGAGTTAATGAGGATAGATTAGAGTATTTAAACCTAGGTATAATGAGTTTTGGTGTCTTGGTTTGTTGGGCATCATTAATATCCGAAAATCTCATTTATTATGGGTGGTTAAAAGTTTATGATGCTATTAATGGGGATTTAATGGCTCATTAATGCTATTGGGGGCTAAAAGTAATTATTAAATCCAATGGTTAGGCTCCACCTTTTGTAGAGTGAGTGTTGGGCAATTTAGAAATAAAGACTGAGAGTTTAAATGTTTGAATTTGTTATATTGATGAAATTCAACTTGGTCGATTGTAGTTTTAGCTCTTGATCACCTATTGGATTGGAAATTCAAGCTTGAAAACTAGTTAATTGAAGGGTAAACCTTTGACCTCTCAAAGGTTTAAGGTAACCAAAGGAAAACTCTACTTTGGGTAGTTGTATGTTAATTAATTATTGAATGTGAATTGTGAATGTTATATGCATAGAATTGATTGTTAAAGTAAAAACTACATATTAGTTTCATTGAGTGCATGAAAAAGCTATTTTTAGCTTGAAAATACAAAATGCAAAGTCAAGAGGATTTTACTATAAAAATACTTATACTTTTGAAAAAATGTGATGATGTGTAGAGGTATTTGTGTGTTAGTGATGAAATAAATTTGAGAAAATGATGAGAATACACAATTGGGTAGCACAAGGTCGTAAGTCCAACGTGGTTATTGTAATAGTGAGTAAATAAAAGTGAAAAAGTAAATACAAGTGAGTATGGATTATGGCATGATCAGTGATGAGAGTTCGCCTAAGGATTGGGAGTAGAGAAAAATCCATAAAGTATTTAGGCTGCCCTCCGATGCATAGGGGTATAGCCTTGTCCCACTGTTTGTCGAGGGACTAGAACCTAGCTATCTACATCGATTTAATGAGGAGAATAGTTTAGGATATGAGACACCTCAAGAATTCGAGAATGGGTAAAGTTGTGGTTCGAGAGTGAGTCTTGTAATCTTTGGTCGAGTCACACTTCACGCTTGGTGAGCTTGGGTAGTCCAGTGACACAGAATGAGCCCTAATCAGTATTATGGCCCATGGTTTCGGTCTGAGGAAATAAAAAAGATATAAGGTTGGTTGATCACTACCTAAGTAAATATATGACATGTCACACGTATTAAGTGGTGGCAAGTCGCATGAGCATGGGTCATGTTATATATGTGAGAATATGGTGACAATGCACCTAGTTATGAGAGTTAAAGATATTATTTAATGATAAACGACAAGATATGATTTATGTTAGCATGTTTTATAAATTTGATTTCCTGGTGCATGTATTTGGTTTATAATTGATATATATTTGCATAGGATAGGTTTAACCTTGGGTACTGAGTGACTAGACTCATTCTTTTCTTTTAATATTTTTCAGACTCTAGCTCTGGTGTTGAGAGGGAGAAGGCTAAAGAGGTGGGAAATTAACATATTTCTACTGTATACCTCTAGTTTAGATTTAATTGTGTAACGGTATATGATTTGTCAATTCTAGGATGCATATCACCATGCTTGCACTATTTTGGTTGTTAGAAATGTTAGAAATATATTTTGGACCCTTAACCTTTATATGTGTTGATAAATATATGTTTATAAGGCTAAAATACTAGTCCAAGTGTAGAAATGAAGATTTGAGTATGTTTTGAATGATTTGAGTGAAATGGAATGACAAATTACCTCCCTTTGTTTTTGGTAAAATGGGGTTGAGGAGTGAATTTTTATTATAATGATGTTTCGGTGCTTATGACATGTTGTATTAGTAGTCATAAGTTCATTGGATATGGTTCAGGTGTTAGGAAAAATTTTTGGCACTTGTTGAGGGTTTTGGACACCCATTTTGTGTAAAAATATTGAAAATTAGTTAAAATGTGTTTGGGTGTCTATCTTTCTAGTATGATTTATTTTGAAAGTAAAACTCATGCCATTAGCTAGTCTATGTAAAGAGCTTTCCATAGACACTTAGATCACGTTATTTGGATGTCAAACAGAGAATAGGGGTGAGTCAAAAGTTCTTCGATTTTGCTGTCAAATGACAGCAAAATTAGTAAAAATTTTATGCAACACGTCGCAGGGTGTGGCGCAAAGAACAACACGCTGTGGCACAGCGTGCACGAGCCACGGCACATTACTCTATATTATAGCACATGTTTTGTTTTTCAATCGTTTTCGACTTCTTTCACTCCTCTGAGATATCTCATGCTTTTGAAACTTATTTTTATTCTGATATAAAATATTTTGATCGATTTCAACTCATTGTTATTTAGAAAACTTGAGATTCTTTACTTTTGGATTAAACATTGGTAATCACTTTTTAAGCTAATCCTTTGATTATCATGAGTTTTATTTATTAATGGTGTTTAGTGGAGTAAGAACGTTTCAATGGAAGGGGAGGAGAGGGGCTCCCCTCCTCTCATTTCCCCTTGTTTGATAAGGTGGAAGGGAGGAGAGATTTTTTAAAATTTGCCCTCCCCTCCCCTCCAAAACCTCCCCCACAATTTAGAGGGATGCCCCCTTCCCCTTTCCTCTCATCCTTTTAAACCAAATAGAGCTTGAAAGTTCTTTTTTCTAAATAAAAATAGAGCCCATTTTATTAATATTGAAAAAACATTGCACTTAGTGTATTATCTGCAATATACTGTCTGGCCAAATTATTCATCAAGAAAATCAGTGTGAATGGGATGGGATTAAGATCTGTAATGATTCAAAGTCAATTTCACACCTCTTTTATGCTGATGACTCAATTATATTCTTTGAATGCACAAAAAGAAGCATATTTTATGTGAAAAAGGTATTGGATACCTTCAGTACTTGGTATGGACCATAGAGAATCAATCATTATAAGTCAAACATTGTTTTAAGCTGAAATATCTCAAGCAGTGTCAAAAATGAAATCACCTCTTTTCTGAGGATGAATACAACAGAGAGACTAGGGAAATACCTTCGAATGGGTTGATGTAGGGAGAAGTAAAGAGCACATCTATCAGGGCATTATTGAATCTATTCAAAGGAGGATT